AGAGAGGATGTGGAGAAATTGGGACCCTTGTGCACTGTTGTTGGGAATGTTAAATGGTACAGCCACCAAGGAAAATAGCATGGTGGTTCCTCAAGAAATTAATGATAGAACTACCATACAATCTAGAAATTCCACCTCTGGGCATATACCCAAATCAGTTGAAAGCAGGGTCTCCAAGAGATATTTGTGTGCCCATGTTCACAGCATCATCATTCACAATAGCTAAAATCTGAAAGCAACTCAAGTGTTCATCAACAAATGAATGGATAAGCAAATTGTGGCATATTCAGTGAAATATTATTCCACCTGAAAAAGGAAGAAAATTCTGACATATGCCCCAACAGCAACGAGCCTTGATGACCTTATGCTAAGTGAAATAAGCCAGCCACGAAAAGACAAATACTGTGATTCCACTCATATAAGAAACCATATCACAACCAAAATCATAGAGTCAGAAAGTAGAGTGGCAGTCATTTGAGGAGATGACACCTGGCAGGACTGGAAGGAGGTGAGGAAGCAGCAAGCCATGGCAATGCCTGGGAAGAGCATTCCTGGCAGTGGGAACAGTATGTGCAAAGGCCTCACTACACTGGCTAGAATACTAATTCTATTATCAGTGGAGCCGCACCCTGAACTCACCACAGAAGCAGCACATAGAGATGGGATGGCATGAACTGGGCATCAGAAGTGGATTCTAGTTCTGTTGCTACTCCTCAGCTAGTTCATGGTCTAGGACCATGGCCAGTACCCCCCGATCTTTAAAGGTCCTGATAAATCAAACTGTCACTGGTCTGCGAGTCTGCAGGTGACTTGTGTTCTCTCAGGCTGCCTTCTTCTTCCTCTCTTTCAACCTACTCACCTCTTACAGTAATCCTAACCCCCCCACCTCCTAAGAGCTGTCCCATACGTGGGGGTGGGTTTGAGGATCAAGGAGGACAAACACAGGAACAAAGACAAATATGTGAAAACTGATTACTGGCAGGATCCTACCAAGTCACTCTCTGGACCTCTATTTCCCCATCTGTAAAATGGGAATACTCCTTTTGCCTATGACATAAGATTGATGTGAAGATCCAATGGAAATACCTGATAAAGAAGCTGCCCTGCTCTGCACAGGCATCATTATAAAGCAGCTTTCGATCTATTCCCTGGTCATTCACATCCTAAATGCTAGCCTGTGCCCCACACTGAGGCAGGAAAGAAAGAGCAGAGGGAATAGGCAGAGTTCATGACAGACACTGGCTCCCACCAGTAATCCCAGCACTTTGGGAGGCCGAGGCAATAGGATCACTCAAGCCCAGAAGTGTGAGACCAGCCTGGGCAATATAGAAAGATCCTGTCTCTACAAAAAGTAAAAAATTACCCAGGTGTGGTGGGTGGCACATCCCTTTAGTCCTAGCTACTCAAGAGGCTGAGGTGGGAAGATCCCTTGAGCTCAAGAGGTTGAGACTGCAGTGAGCCTTGATTACACCAGCTTAGGCAATAAAGAGTGAGACCTTGTCTTAAAAAAAAAAAGTCACAAAGCTAAAATTTGAATCAAACAGACTCTAAAGCCCAAGCTCTGAAGAATCATCAAGTGCCACTGTTTCTTGAGGCCAATCGGCATTTATCTAATGCCCAACTACTTACTACCCTATGCAGCCTTGGAAACATAAAAGGCAATACCTAGAGATTGCATCAACTTTCAAAGAAAGCTTGATGGCTAGACTAACTCATTCATCTGGCATCATCAAGGAATTATGTATGCTCACAATATGCAAAGTTATAAATAACTCTGAATGCTGAAACTTTTGCCTGCTTTTGATAGACTTCCTATTTTTGATGGTAATTCCAAAATGTACTTCACACTTTCTTGCTTTCTCAGAGAACGCTGAACAGCATGTACCTTTCCTCAGAGACGATACATACACTGGCTTCATCACCAATGAGCTTTGCACTTTCGCATAGTAATGTATTCAGGAAGAAGACAGGTGTGCAGAACCCCTCAGCCCCTCACTAATTGGCCTCAGGTTGGCTTTGGTGCTAGAGCCCATGTGTCTGCCGCTGGTAGAACCTCGCCTCTCACCCCGTGCCTACATAGCCACACACTAACAGAACCAACGTGCTGCTTCTCATGTCATGGGGCCTCGACATGGCTGCCAAGCTTGTAAGAACCCTGTGCAAACTAAGAGCAAATTGGCCCTAAGGAGGAAAGGTACAGGGTGCAACATAGGAGGAGATTCCAAGCAAGGGAAGATCCACATGGCATGGGGGTTAATCTTCCTGGGCTGGACACTGTGGTCACTGGTTCCCAAGTCCTCTCTTGCCCCTTCACCTCCCTGGATTTCTGTTCCTTCCTCATGAGTGCAGGCAGCCTGCCTAGTAAGTGGATGGGTCATGGGCATGAGGCCTAGTGTAAGGTGCTGATTTCAATCCCCTGGGAAGATGTGGGGACATTTGACCAGACATCTCCCTGCACATACCAAGACTCCCTGCAGATACCACCCATTTACTCTCTCTGGAGCAAGTGGGTGGGTCATGTGCATGAGGCCTAGAGTAAGGTGCTGGTTTCAATCCCCATGGGAAGATGTGGGGACATTTGACCAGACATCTCCCTGCAGATACCAAGACTCGTGAAACTCTGAGCCCCTCCCCAGCTGAGGCAGAGCCATACCTGGAAAGATTGGATTCCTAGCAGTGGTTTATTATTCCACAAAGATCTGTGCGCTGGAGGTATATTCTGATAGTGGGTTCTGGAGGCTCCACCAAGTGTTTGCCTTTGATCCATTGTGTGCAAGGTTTACCTTGGTGACAAGGGCAGGGGACTCCTTGTGGGGACTGGTATGATACTCCCACACTCACCTCACCCACAAATTCTAACATGACTCCAGGCACAAAGAAGGACCTCTGGGGTCAGGCAAACGGGCAAATGTGAAAGATCGAACAGCGTTTGCTCATCGTTCCATCATCCAACGACTATTTATTGGAGCCTACAGTGTGCCAGGGACTGTTAAGTCACTGGGGAATTTGATGAAAAACCAGCTTGATGAGGTCCCTTTCCTTAGGGAGCTCCAGTCCCAACTGGGTAAAGAAGAGGGAACAGTAAAGAATAAATACGGCAGGGCGTGGTGGCTCATGCCTGTCATCTCAGCACTTTAAAAGGCCAAGGCAGGCCTGGCCAACATGGAGAAATACCATCTCTACTAAAAATACAAAAACTAGCCGGGCGTGGTGGTGGACGCCTGTAATCCCAGCTACTCAGGAGGCTGAGGCAGGAGAATCACTTAAGCTACAGAACAGCACCAGTGCCACAAACTCTGGGGTGGACCTAGGTCCGCCCAGCTGTAAAAGGGGAATAGCACTGGGACTACTTCACGGGGTTCCTCTGAGATTAAAGGGAGGCAGAGGGTGCAGTTGAACCTGGGAGGCGGAGGTTGCAGTGAGCTGAGTCGCACCACTGCACTCCAGCCTGGGTGACAGAGTAAGACTGTGTCTCAAAAAAAAAAAAAAAAAGAACACATAAACGAAGGTTATAAAGGGCTAAGGCTACAGTTTACATTTAACCAGGCTCCAGGGAAGGCCAGAGTAGGGAACAGGCCTGGCACACAGTGGGCACTAACAAATGGATGTTCTCCCCATACAAACCTCTTCTGTACCCCGCATCTTGGCTGTGGGGGCACTACTCTGAGCTCCCTGCCCTCTTACCTATATATAGTGATTTCCACTGAGCCCCACAGCTGAGGCAGCGTACAGGCCCCACCACCCACCCCAGCCACACCACAGATGCCTCCTGTTACCCCATTCCAGTCCTTTCTGTGTGCTCAGCCAGATTAGCCACACTGCAGGGGTTAGGACCATGTGCTCTAGATTGCCTGGTATAGGAGAGGAGCTGCAGAACAGCACCAGCGCCACAAACTCTGGGGTTGACCTAGGTCTGCCCAGCTGTAAAATGGGAATAGCAGTTGGACTGCTTCATGGGGTTCCTCTGAGATTAAATGTGATTACACACATGAAGGATATGACACAGGGCCTGATCTCTTGAAGGGGGCATAGTAGTTGTTGATGTTCTCACCATCATCATCATCATCATCATCATCATCGACATAGTTGAAGATGAGGCCTGCCTGGGGACCCTTAACACCAGGGTTCATGTTAAGAATATTATGTGGCTGTGCTCTTACAGTAGTGGGTACACTATGGCATTGCCATACACAGTATTTGACAAATAGATGGACAGTCAGAAAAACGGGCATTGGAAGCCTTAAACCCATTCCCAGTAGTCTGCTTCTACCAGCCATGCAGGGTTTTGAGGTGTTTTGAGCAGGGTCTGCTGTGGTCTGTGACTGCTAGCAGCATGAAGGCCGGGTTGCCCTTAGTACCAAGGATCCAGAGCAGGGCCCTCCCCAGTGTTCTGGGTACCACACTTCCTTGCAGAGAGCCTGAGACCAGAAATAAAGGCGCGAGCAGCCACGTTGCCAAGGCTGTTTGCCATGGCAACATCAGGGAGTGACTCGTGGGCCGGCTGCTGCAACTGCTCAGGGCCTGGTTGGTTTCTAACATCTCCTCGCTTTCCCTCTGCTAAATGACTGTGTTCTGCCAGGCAATCACAAGGAAAAAATACGGCTGCAGAGCTGTAGGGGAGCATCTATCTCTCAGCCAAGCAGAGCTTGCCCGGCTGAGTTCCCAGACAGTGGATCCCAGACAGTTGAGTCCCAGCTACTCAGAGCCAGCCCTGGCCAAGCAGAAAGCAGCCCAGGGCTCTGTCTTGCCACTGCTGAGTGACCTGAAGGCATCCTCTGGTCTGTTTCTAGTCTGATTCTTCCCTTCAAGGTAAGGGCATTAAGCAAGATGGTCTCTAGGGACTCCCAACTCCCAGAAAGCTCAAACTGACATTTGTGTGTTTTATATCTTACATCATCATCGTTGTCATCATCCTAGTGACTACCATTTATTGAGTGCTTACTATATGTCAGGTGATGCTGCCAGAGTTATCTGCAGCTATCTTTTTTTTTCTTGAGATGGCGTCTCACCCTGTTGACCAGGCTGGAATGCAATGGCACAATCTTGGCTCACTGCAACCTCTGCCACCTGGGTTCAAGCGATTCTCCTGCCTCAGCCTCCCAAGCAGCTGAAATTACAGGTATGTGTCGCCATACTCGGCTAATTTTTGTATTTTTAGTAGAGATGAGGTTTCACCATGCTGGCCAGGCTGGTCTCAAACTCCTGATCTCAGGTGATCCGCCCTCGTTGGCCTCCCTAAGTGCTGGGATTACAGGCATGAGCCACTGTGCCCGGCTGCAGCTATATTAAGTTATCCTACAGAAAGAATACTATTATTATCCCCAATCTGGGAAATAATATATGAAGAAACTGGGGTCAGAGAGGTTAAGATACTTGCTCAAGGTCACACAGCTAGTAAGTGGTAGAGCCCTGATTTAAACCATAGGCAGTTAAAACTCCAAAGCCCAGAGCTCAGAACCACTCTGGGGTATTTCTTCTCCTCTCTTCAAGTGGCATCTCATTAGATGTGGTTTCCTAAGTCAGTATTGTGGCACTTGCTAAGGCCGGATAGGAACCCTCGTCACCTGCCCCAGAAGTTGAGAGGAAAAAATGCTCTGCAAGAGGAACCTCAGGGCCTTGACTAGATCAAGGACCAGGAGCTCAGGGGGAAGACAAATGGCAGGGTCTGCATTACATGTATGTCTTTTTAATATTAACAAGGGTTACTACTCATTGAGCATTTCTGAACACTTTACAGATACTGCCTCAACTATTCTTCACTAAAACCCTTCAAAGTATATTCTACTGTGGGCCCCATTTCCTAGATAGCAAAGGAAGGCCCAAAGAAATTCTCTGCCAAGCTCACAGGGCTTTGCCCCAAGCAGATCTCAATCCTACAATTCAGAGCCTTCTCAGCCACTAAAACAAACAATTAAGGCAAATGTTTATTTTCTTACCTAAAACACCAAACAGTCATTACAGGCCTTTGGGGGTAATTAATCAATGACTTTATCCTACCATTTGTGAAAGTCTCTCAGGTCTTGTCTCCTACTCTAGATCTGGGTGGGAATTCGGTCTCTATCCTGAGGAAAGAGCAGGGTGCGCGTACAGGAGCCCAGATGCCACCAAGAGCCTGTCAACCCTGTGTCCAGCCCAACTGGGTGACCTCAGGTCAGGCCCCTCCTCTCTGAGCTCTGTGAATCCAGCTGCTGACACCTCGGCTCTGCCTCCCTCACTGGGTAAGTCTGAGAATCTCATGAGAGAACTCATGGTCAGCTGCAAGGGGTGCAGTGGGACCTTTGGGATTTAGGAATGACATGAGAAGGAAGAAAATGCCGTCAGTCCAGGAGTGGTGGTAGAACTTGCCCCAGGGTCCCACAGCCACCCAGGGCAATGGTGTCTCTCAGAGGACTACCCTCCCTGGGCCCTCCCCAAGAGCTAAGGCCCACCACACCCCCAAGACCTGAAACTGGAAATGAACTTGCCAGGAAGTCAGGCCTGGGCCTCCTCCAGCTAAGCAGCTGGACCTCAATGTCTTCTCTTCTGGAAAAGGCAAGGTGAACCTTTTATCTCCAAGGACCCCTGCCCCAAGCCTGGAAGGAGAGAGAGCTGCTCATAGCCAAGGTTCAAATCCCAGGCTAGCTGCTCACTAGCTTTGAGACCCTGAGCAACTGACCCAACCTCCCTGCAGTTTCGTCACGTACAAAAGGGGAAAGCCAACCTCACAGTTATTGGGAGAAATCCATGCAATGGCACTCCGAAGTCTCTTCAGATATGCACTGAAATAGTCACAGATGAAATGACATGGAGTAAGAGTGGCTGCACGTCTTTTACAGTGGACGCTGGGTGATGGAGGGATGGGGATTCGCCATATTGTTCTCCCTACTGTCTACTTCTGTATGAGTTGACATTTTCCATAGTCAAATGTTTCAAATACAAAATTCCTTTCAGAGAACCTGACATTGAAACATATAAAACACTCTTCTGGGCAACCACAGTGCTAGTCCAGGATAAAAATAATTTCTTGTCCTCCCAGAGCTTTCAGTCCAGTTGTAGGATTAAAAGCACACACCAGATACCATGGGATAGTAAGTGGCACATGCCATGTGAGTGGTGGACGCAGAAGTAGTTAGCTTCAAGGCTTTCTCCAGAGAGGACGGCCTTTCAAGAGGGGGCTTAAAGTTCAGGTAGGCTATAAATACACTAAAATGACAGGGCTGGTAGTGAGGAGAGGACATTCCAGCTCATTCCACCAGACTTGTATTAGTCCATCCCTTCCCAGGAACACATGGACTGAAGATATAAAACAAGAAGCAGTGACTGCCCTGAAGAGGCTCATAGTCTAGCATATTCATTCACTCAGTAAGGACTGACTCCATGTCTGTTATGTTTCAGACACTGATCTATTCATTGTGGTGGAAAACAAGGGGGATGAAATGAATGAAAATCCTTGTCTTTGTGGAACTTAACCTCCAAGAGTGATTTCCTAACACTTAATGAGATCTATATGAGAAGAGATATATCTATTATTTGGTGCTTATTCTATGCCAGGCATGTGCCACGTGCTTTAAATCCATGTTGCTATTCAATTTTCATTGACTCCTCACAACAATCTTTTTTGTTTTGTTTTGTTTTTGAGACAGAGTCTTACTCTGTCACCCAAGCTGGAGTGTAGTGGCATGATCCCAACTCACCACAACTTTTACCTCACTGGTTCAAGTAATTTTCCTGCCTCAACCTCCCAAGTAGCTGGGATTACAGGCATGCACCACCATGCTCAGCTAATTTTTATATTTTTAGTAGAGACGGGGATTCGTCATGTTGCCCAGGCTGGTCTCCAACTCCGGACCTCAGGTGGTCCGCCCGCCTAAGCCTCCCAAAGTGCTGGGATTACAGGCATGAGCCACCACACCCAGTCTTTTCACAACAACTTTAATCATCGTATCTTCCCACTTGAGGAAATGGAAGCTGAGAGAGGTTACGTGACCTGCCAAAGGCCTCGAAGCTGGCAAATCGCAGAACCAAGACTCAAACCCAGTAAGGGGATTTCAAGGTCAGTGCTCTGCTGGCCCTGCTTACTGCCACACAGATGATGGAACAGCTGGCTTGGAGGGCAGGGAGAAAGTATCGCCAAAACAATGCTTGGTGAGCAGGGCTCGCAGAATGAATCATGGAAATGGAGACAGAGGACACAGAAAAGAGCAGCTGAGTCTAAGCCTCCAGAAGGGAAAATCATGGTTTTCCTGGGGAGGTACAGGATCCCAAAGTAAGAGCAAACAGCTCAAGATAAAGTCAAGGGCCTAACTCTCCAACTTAAAGTACCTGAAGGGCCTTAGAAATCAGGTTTCAAGTTAGGCTTTAATTTAAAATATTGGACAGCTGAGCTATCAAGCCAACAAAGTCATGGAGGACCCTTAAATGCCTATCAGCAAGTGAAAAAAAAAGCCAGTCTGAAAAGACTACATACTGCATGCTTCCAACTATACGGCATTCTGGATAAGGCAAAACCGTGGAGACAGTAAAAAGATCAGTGGTTGTCAGGAGCTGGGGGACAGAAGACATGAAAAGGTGGAACATAAGATTTCTAGGGTAGTGAAACTACTCTGTGTGGTGCCACCATGGTGGATACCTGTCACTATCCATTTGTCCAAACCCACAGAGGGAACCCTAACATAAACTACAGACTCTGGGGTGATGATGATGTATCAGTGCAGGTTCATCAATTATAACAAATCTACGACTCTGGTGGGGGATATTAATAATGGGGGAGGCTATGCACATTGCGGGGGAAGGGCACAGAGATGGCAGATCTCTGTGTCTTCCTTTCAGTTTTGCTGTGAACCTGAAATTGCTCTAAAATAATAAAGTCTTTTTAAAAAGTACTGGGGAACTATGGGAGATGTGTGAGCGCAAGACTGATGTCAGACTGCTGCACTCTAAGAGGTCTGATCTGCCATCAGGGCTAAGACAAAGTCTGGTGTGGCAAAGATCTGTTTGGTAGTAACAGCAGGAATCTAGTTATGAACAGAAGAAAACATAGATCAGAAGGGGAAAAGAACAGAAAGGACAAGCCAAGCAATTTTCCATCAGCTGAGTGTCAGTGGGATGGATGTGAGGCACTCCGAATACCTTGAAGGAAGACAGATAGAAACTGACCCTGATCATTTTCTTCCAAATGACTTTATTTGGGTTCCCTTCACCCTGACATAATAAGAATTATGCTTCTCTTCTTTACACAAAAAAAGATTGCATGCATGAAAATTAGGTTCATAATTAATCCTGTCCTTCTAAAAGTGCTTCGAAGAGAGAATTATTCCAAGTTTCATGAGCAGCAGGTTAATGCTCATTTTAGATACACTGTATTATTTCACTCCCAACCCTGAGAGTTAGGGCCTATTATCCTCATTTCAGGGATTGAGAAACTCAGGCCTAGAGAAGCAGAGGGACCTAAGAGTTCTGCATTCTTTCTATACAATCAGTGTGCCTTCATTTGCTCAAGGTTCTAGAAAGCAATGAAGAACAAAAACAGAGAGTAGTCCCTGACTTCAAGGAGCTTGGAGTCAAGTGGTCTGGGAACACTGCTCACTAATGCTGGCTCTTCTACTTACTCAAAGGTAATTAATTAGTCTTCCACAAGTCAGTGAGTTCTCTGAAGCTGTCTAAGATCTGCACAGCTGTGCAACAGCACCTACATTTTGCACAATCTCTGAGAATGAAATGTAGTAGTGCAAACAGAAGGATAAGAAAACTGCATGGGGTCTAGGGGATACTCAGTAAACATCACTGATGATGACAATGATGAAGGAGAAGACAAGAATCAACACTGCAACATTCTTGTTATGTGTTTCCAAGCCTGAGCCCCCTTTGCAAGGCTGCTTCTCACTTGCACCTTGAGTCTTTCTTCTACTATTCCAGAGGAAGAAGGAAGAGGGTGACTCAAGTGGCACAGTGGAACGTCTGCCTGGCCTGCACCAGCTGGGGAGAGGAGGGCCCCAAGGTAAAGGGGAAATATGAGCTCCTGGGGCCCCGCTGCTGGGCCATTGCCTTTCCTGGGTTTCACAGGCATCCTGATCATTAGCACCAGCCAGGAAATCCCAACGAAAATAGAGCCCAGGTCTCTGGTGAACATGACCCCTTCTGGCTCAGGTGAAGAAGTTACTCGCCCTGGTCTCATACAGATGAATAATGGGCAGACGCACCCAGTGAAGACTACACTTCAACCTGCTCCCACACACTATACATTTGTCCAAGCCCACAAACTGATTTGAAAAGGAAGTTGGCCTTGGCTCCAAGGGGTGTTTGGAGCCATTTTCTCAGTTCTCCATGTGGCAGGGGTCTGTTCTGAGTGCTCAGTCCCAGCTTTAGGACAACGAGGGGACAGGATACCAAGTGCAAAATGGGCCAAGGTCAGAAACACAGAACCACAAATGGCCCTTGATCATATGGGGAAAAGTTCCGCATCACAAGCAATCAAATAAATGCACATTAAAACAATAAGGGTAATAGAATTTATTGATGAACAGACTGGTAAAAATGAAAAACAATGAAAACATCAAACAGTTATCTGGGTATAGGAAACCAGATATGCTGGCGTGCGAATAAGTACAATCTTTCTAGAAGGCAATCCAGGAATGGGTTTGCAAAATGCCTGCACGGTTTTTCTGATGGAGTAATTTCACTTCTAGGAATAAAAAAAGGAGCGAAGAGATACACACAGAGATATTCATTTTAGCACTGCTTACCATAGCAAAATAAAAAAATTAAACAACTTAAATGAGTAAAAAATTGATTAAATACATTCAGTTCGATCCTCAATGAAACATTAGATAACCAATAAGATATTAAGCAAAATATTTACTGACGTGGAAAGATGCTTACAGCATACTGTTTGGAGGAGGAAAAAAAAAACAAATTACAAAACAGTGAGATTCCAAGTTACAAATCAGTATATTCAAGATGACCCCCACTTTTCTTTTTTTCTTGAGACGGAGTTTCACTCTTTTGCCCAGGCTGCAGTGAAGCAGCTCAATCTTGGCTCACTGCAACCTCCACCCCTCCGGGGTGGAGCGATTCTCCTGCTTCAGCCTCCCGAGTAGCTGGGATTACAGGTGTGTGCCACCACGCCTGGCTAATTTTTGTATTTTTAGTAGAGAGACGGGGTTTCACCATGTTGGCCAGCCTGGTCCCGAACTCTTGACCCCGGGTGATCCACCTGCCTTGTGCTATAATTACAGGCATAAGCCACCGACCCTGGCGACTCTTATTTTTTAAGAACAAGATGTGATCTAGATGAACAAGAGAGAAACAGTCTAGAAATATACATCACAATAGTGGTTATCTTTGGGTCACGTTACACATTTCTAATTTTTTTTCTTTATGCTTGGCAGTATTTTCTAACAATTCTATAAATATTTTTAAATCATGAGGGGTTGGAACAGATGATTTCTACAATTCCCGCCAACTCTGACATTTTGTGCGTCTGACTGATGCCGTAAGAGACTTCAAATAGCCCATATTTAGTATGGGCTTGCTGTGTGGCCTTTGGGGTCTAAGCCTTTGCCCACAGCGGCAGCCCTCTGCATTCCTCTCTCCCATAACTCGCTGCCTAGCTGTCTCCCCTGCCAGCCTGGGAGCTTCTGCTTGGCAGGACACAGCTGCACCCCTGTCTGTAATCCACGTGCCTAGCCAAGAGCTAAGCAAAGGAACACAGCTCAGCATGCTGACAGGTGCCATGCAGGCACAATGATAAAAGCCACAACTCTAGTGCTAGAATCTTACTGGACACCAGACTCACACAAAGTGCTTGGTTGTATAACACAGATGCAGAAAACCAGAGGAGAGAAAGCAGGGCGCTCGGGGCTGGGAGGGCCTACTAGAGAAGGCCAAGCAGGATGGGTGGGTGAGGGCACTCCGGGTCCGGGCACAGCCTGAGCAAAGGTGAAGCCACCCACAGTCCTTTGGGATCCATGTCTCAAAGCTTTCCAAGAAACTTTCACAATCCTTGTTCTGCTAAATTTCTGTACTTTGGCCCCAATGGGTAAAAGTTAAGTCTCCTAAACAGAAGTCCTGCCTCTAAATCTAACCCTGGAATAGCCACCAAAGACAACAACAATCTTTTGGGACCGAGACAATGAATTACCATTTAATCCACTGTCCCAAAGCTCCCAAAGAGAGAGGGAGGAGGGGAGGGTGAGGGTAAGGTTGGGGGAGGAGAGGGGGTTGCAGGCACAACCAGAACATCTCACATGCAAACACGGCTCACCCCCACCACCAGGCCATTGGATTCTCTTGCGGCACCACCAGCCCCATTTGACAGATGGAGGAAATGAGGCTTGGAGAGTTCAAATGGCTTGCCCCAGGGTCACCCAGCCAGAGAGTGGGGAAGGTGACTCCACTCAGGCCTTCTGACTCCAAGTCCAGTGCTATTTCGAGGTAACACACAGGACCTGGAGTCAGGAGCCCTGGGTGGCTCTGTCACCCTCTGGCTGCGTGGTCCCGTACAAGCCGCTCACTCCTCGCAGCCTCTTTCCCCAACTGTAAAATGAGGAGGCGCACGCTGGGCCCGCCCAGGTCCTTTTCCGGCTGGGCTGTGCGAGCCTTCTAGGGGCGGCTCAAAGCTCATCCTATCAATTACATTTCCCAAGTTGGGCCGGCATAGATCACCAGAAGATCCTTGGGCTGTCACGTGGTTAAGAAAAAAAAAAGCAAATGTCCCAGATTAACTTTCACTGCACTGTTCCTGCTGACACCTGATTACTCAATTTTCTAGTTTCCTCGGGTGAAATATTTCTGCTAGCTAGGCTCGCTAGGTAGCTAAAAGGGCAAAATAATTAATCATTGCTAAGCCAAACACTGAAGATGGAGTTTAAATCCGGGGTATGGTCCAAAGCGGACAGTTCTTGCAATGGGTCCCTGAAGGAGTCTCCGGCTATTTCAGGCCTCCCTCCTCATCCGAATTTCAGCGGAGAGATTAGGAGACGCCCCCAGGCAATTGAGAGATCTGGGGACAGAATCGTCCCTGGAGAGACTCTGCCCCTCCTCCCGAAGTCAGTCTCCCTAACCCCAAGCTCTAGGCTCCGGGAGTACGGAGGCTGGGACCCGCCTTCGGCGCAGACACCGGCGCGGGGCGTGTGACGGAGCCTGGCGACGGCGGCGGGAGCTCCACCGCAGTTTCGTCAGAGGTAAAGGTACGCGCCCGGCGCGCACGGCGTGTGCACACACACACACACACACACGCGCGCGCGCAACACGCTCACCACACACTCCCCCTACCTCGAGAAGCGCAATCACACGCCACCAGCCCCTCCGGCCTCTACCGCGAACCCACCCGAGCGTGCCCGCCACCGACCACGCGGCCCCGCGGCTCCCCTACGCAGCGGCGTCTGCAGCTGGCCAGGGCCGGCCTGCCTCCCGCGTGGCGGGCTTCCTGCCACGCCGCGCTGTCCCAGCAGCCGGCCCGAAGTCGCCACCCGGAGTCCGCCCGGAGCTGAACGTCTAGGCTGCGGCGTCCCCTCCAAGTCGCGTTTCACCGCAAGGAGTCAGCTTGCAACCTCTCCCCGCCCACCCGGTCCCATGACAGCTGCTGCCGCCCAAAGACTGGCAGATTATAACAAGAAGCAAAGTTTCCCTCTCTCTCCTCCCACCTCCCTCCCCCCCATCTACGCCTTCCCCCTCCTTTCCACTGTTATGCAAAACGGGCCGGCACCGGCGCTCCCACTCCAGGTACTAAATCAGCCCCCGCGAGCCGCGCCCGGTTCCGCCCGGCTGCCCCTCTCCGTGCCCAGGCGTGTGCCAGCACCCAGGGGCTCCTCCGAGGTTCCGCTGCAACCCCAGCTTCCCTGTGACCCGCAGCCGGGCGCCAGGAGAAAAAGCCCTAACTCTGGAGCCAAACTTTATGCTTGCAACAGGCATTGGGTGGGGAAAATGGGGGAGGGGTGGGGGGCGCGCACACCTCGTGCTGACATTTTTGGTAGCTGCTTGTCCCAGCAGCACCCTTCTCCCAGTCTCCAAGCCACCAGCTTCCTCGCCTCCCCCCACCCCGCGGCACACCAGAGCACTCTCTCCTGTCACGCGCGTGTCGCCAGTGGGGCTCCCGGTCTCAGCCAAAGCCTGGGACTCCGCCTCGCCTTCCCTTCCCCCTGCATCGTGGAGCGCGCGCCGGGACCGCGCGCCGCAGGGGGACCCAGGCGCCCCCAGAGAGTCCTTCCGCCCCCATCCTGCCTGGCTTTTTCCCCCAGAGGGCTCCGCCGGATAGCGAAACCAGGAAGACGCCGTCTCCGCCCGCATGTCCACGTGCCCCGCAGACCCCTGTGCCTTTAGCTGGCAACTGGCAGGAAACTCCGCGCTGCTAGCGCGGGTAGAGAGCCGCGGAGGGCCAGCAACAGCACTCGGGGGACTGGAGGCTGGAGGACTAGAGGACTCCGGAGACAGAGGCTGCGCCCGTGCCGGGGCCACAAGTCCACGTGAAAGTACGGCAGCAAGTGCCGGGCGCTGAGGGCGCGCCTCCAGCACCCAGCGACAGCCTGAGGGTACCCCACACCGTGGCGCGCCTCCACCTGCCCAAGGAAGCGCGATACCCCCAGCTCTGCCCGCGGGGGGGCAGACTCTAAGCGGCCAAGGCTAGACCCTCCCCAGCGGCCGTAGCGCCCCCAGCGCTCCAACACACTCGGGGAGACCTTCGGCTCCCAGCCCCGGTAACGGAGCGCATCGCAGGGCGCCTGGAAGGGGGGCTCTGCAGCCTGGAACCCCCAGTACCCCAGGGCGCCCACCGCTGCCTCCCGGCCTCGGCGGCGGCGGCTGCGGCTGCGGCCCCCGCAGCTCAGTACCCCTGGCCCAGGGCCCGCAGCCCCGGCGGGCCGTACCTGCGTGTCAGCGAGATAGTTGAGGAAGAAAGAGGAGAGCTCTTCGTCCAGCAGCGCGCCGCAGTCGTTCCCCGCCATCTTCCAGCCGCGGCTGCAGCGTGCGGCGGAGTCAACGCCGAGCCGGCCCGGGGGGAGGGAGCCAGCGAGCGAGCAAGGGAGGAGGGAGGAGGGAGCAAGGCCGGCGGGAGGCGGAGGGCGGAGCTCGAGCCCCCGGCTGCCGCAGGGCCACTGGCTGCGGGGGCGGGGCCGCGCGGCGCCCGCGGGAGCCGGGGGTCGCTCACCCACTTTCCTGCGCCTAGTCTGGCGCGGCGGCCGGCTCCAGCAGCCCTCAGACGGGGAAAAAGCGCAGACAGCCGGGTGGCGGTGCCCTAGCCAGCAGCTTGATGCCTGCGCAGCAATGCGGGCAGCCCCCCGCTCCTGCCAGAGCGAATCACGTTGCGTTAGCACTGGGCGGGTCCTGCTTCTTCTGCACAGCGGGGGAAACTGAGGCTCAAGAAGACAAGGACCACGTTTGAAGCCACAAGGCACATCAGTTGCAGGAAGAGAAAGCTCAGGCCTTACTCCCATGGAGGACTGAGTTTCTCTACCCAATCTACCAGGCCAGAGAAAGGGAAAAATACCATAGATAAAAAGCAGAGAAATCAAGGAAGGCTCCTTGGAGGAGGTGGTATTTTAGTCTTTCACTTGAAGTGTGCGTTTGCTTATGTTCTGTGTTAAACCTGATCATCTCTCTCTCTCCCATGGTCTCCCAACACCCTACTCCCCAAAACTTTAATGACTTCTCTTACCGTGGCCCACAATGCGCGAAGGGGCTGGGCTCCTGCCAGCCTCTGCAGGCCCACTCACAACGAGCTTGTACACCCAGCAGCCATTCACCTGGTAATCTCTTCAGGGCATCACGCCATTTCCTCTCCTTCCACCCCACCATCATGGGCTCCCTTCGCTGAGTGGTAGGCCTTTTTTCTTTAAAAGCTAGTCACAGTTGCCATTTTACATTTGTTGCAGTGAAGACTTAATCTTTGTATCTCTTCTTACAAGACTCTAACACCATGCAAGCCGGGCCTCAATCTGCTTTTGCACTTGCTGTATTGGCAGTTCCTGGCACACAGTAGGCACTTAATAAATGATGTGTTAACTAAAAAAGCTGGAGCATTTTCTCTACCACCACCACCGCCACACATGATACAGAAAAGGAGACTCACTGTCAGTGTGCACATGGAGTGACTCTCTGAGCCAGAACCAGCACTCAGACCTCCTGACTCCAAACTTGAACTCTCATCACCATGCCCTGTTTGCCAGACAGGAGGTGAGGGCACTGCCTTCATGAAGGCAAGAAGGCGGGAAGCTTTAGGTCAGTTTTATTGGGCACTCCTGCCTCCTGTCCTCCTTCCACCCTACACTCATAGGAGCTGCCCCACCCTGCCCACCCTACAAGGGCTCCCTTCCAGTGGAAGAAGGAAACAGGGAGAGTCCCCGGTACACCTGCTCAGACTTGAACGCCAGGGCAAAAGCTTCCTTCTCCAGTCTGAGGTTCCCAGAACCGCAGGGCGTGATTTCACTCCTTGGGCTTAAGGCCAGTGTGCTCTTAAGGAACAATGCATTCCAACAGAGAGCCTGCATCTAGCCTCAGAGCCCTAGACTAGGAGGCAGGAGTCCCAGGTTCTGTTTCAGGCCCTGCTACATCTTGTTCCAGTATCCAGTAATTCAGGAGGTGAAGAGCATGGGCTCTGGAGTCACACTGCCTGATTGGGAACCACAGCAAGTCATTTAGTCTCAGGCCTCAGCTTCCTCATCTGCACAAATGGGGACCAAAAAACTACCTACTTCATAAGGATGTTTTGATGATTGAGGAGATAATATATGTAAAGTGCTTGGCACAGCACCTGACCTCATGGAGAATATGCTAAGCGCTCTGTTCTTCTGTTTCCCTTCTGTTAAAATGGTAATAAGAAATATATATCCCTTGAAGGCACTGGCCAATGTTACTTGCCTTTTTTTCCAGCACTTACAGGCTACTGGCTTACCTTGGACTCCAGTATATTCAGATTTGAATCCTGGTGCAAACTAGCTATGTGCCCTTGGTCGTTTACTTAACCTCTCTGAGCCTCTGTTTCCTCGTCTGTAAAGTGGGGATAGCAATTGTCCTGCTCCACATATGGATCTTGTGATGATGGATTGAACAAAACAATGCAATTCATGTAAAGTCATGTAAAGCCCGGCCCTGAATCCTGCAGATAGGAAATGCCCATCATCACTATAGTCGTCACCAACATCACCAGTGTCATCACGGTTAGCACTAAGGACTTGAACTCTCCCCAGACCCCATTTTTTTGGTACTGCCCTGGGCACCAGAGTCAGAGCCCTGTGGGATGGTTTCCAGAGATGTCCCTTCCAGGCCTCACCTGGCCCGACTGGTGATTTGTGCTTTATAGCCCAGAAGCCAAACTTGGAGTGTCCCCAGACAGCCATCTCTAGCCTTGGGCCTTGCTGAGCTACGGTGCCATTCACTGCCTTGCCAGAGAAGGCCCAACAGCACTTTCCCAGAGGCATTTTTTGTTTTTAAAACTCCTGTGTTCATAGAAAAGCCACACATTGCCAAACGTTAGGGACTTTCTCGCCAATCACTATATCCTCACAGCAGGCTTCTGGCTGGCAAGAAACTTAGGTGCAAAAGGGCCTCGCTTGAGATATTTTGCCTCCTTTTTCAAAAGCATATTGTCCCAGAAATTCCTTCATCACAGGTTACTCACAGAGTCTCAGCCTCATGGAAAAATTTGAAGTTCCTCTGGTCCATGGAAAAAAATTGAAGTTCTTAATTGAAATTAAAAGTCTTGGCCTGAGTGTAGTGGCTCATGGCTGTAATCCCAACACTGGAAGGCTGAGGCTGGAGGATCACTTGAGTCTAGGAGTTTGAGAATAGCTTCGGCAACATAGGGAGACCCCATCTTTACAAAAAATCAAAAAAAAAAAAAAATAAGCCAGATGTTATGGTGCACACCTGTGGTCCCAACTACATTGGAGGCTAAGAAGGGAGCATCACTTGAGCCCAGGATGTTGAGGCTGCAGTGAGCTGTGATCGCATCACTACCCTCCAGCATGAGACCCCCATCTCAAAAAAAGAAAGCCCTCAAAAAACCTGAGGTGCTAGATGATCTTGTGCCATTTGCTTCTCCTCTCTGAGGCTGTTTTTCTACCTATAAAATGAAGGAGCTGGCCTGGATGAACCTCTGCAGAGTCCTCCAGCCCAGATGTGATGGCAGTTTACAGACATCAACCAAAACTTAGAGCTTTTCTGTACTGACCATGTGCCCAACACCTGAGTTTATAGCATCTCTAATCCTTCCAGCAACCCTCAGTAGGCAAATCATGATGTTCATTTTATGACTGAAGAAACAGAAGTTTAAAGGGAGTCAAAGTGGTTGGCCCCAGACTACAAAGTCAGAGACACAGCTCTAATTTG